TTGTCTCCAGTCAAGGATATTTGGAGCTTTGAAGCAAAGTGAAGGAATAAAGGGGGCTTCACCTGTTTTTGTGACTGTGTTTATTTTGTATCCGCTCCCCTCCAGGTGTGATAGGTAGAAATGGTAGGACATACAGAGCAACACAACTTGGGGAAGACTGACTTATAGAAAAGGGCTCCAGGGTAACAGTTTGTGTTGTTGTGAGCTAATGATAAGTATTGAAGCACACACACCCAAGCGTACATGTTATTCAAAACCAAAACTGAACCTAGTAAAGTCATACAAAAGACCCAATTTTCTTGCCTTCTAGCTAGAAATGTGAATGTACGGCTAGTCCATGGCATTTAGCAATGATTTAGAGGCAAATGAAAAAAGTGACCTTACGATCCTCACACTTACGACCATTGTGGTGTCCTCACAGTTGATCAAAATTCAGGTGCTTGGCCACCGGCATGTCAGGATCACAGTTGAAGCATCCTGGGGTCACGTGCTCGCCATCTGCTAACCTTCCCAGCCAGTTTGTGACAAGCAAAGCCAATGGGGGGGGGGGAGCCAGATTTGCTTAACAACCTCATGATTCACTTAACAACTTAAGCACCGTAGCATAAAAATGTGGGCGTGGCTCACTTAAAACTGCCTTGCTTAGCTTTTCTGGTCCCAATTGTGATCAGAACTGAGGTCTGCCTGTATACTGCGGCATGTGAAGTGGCTAAAAAGCAACCTCATCCTTGTTAGGATTAACTTGATAGACACTCCAGCTTTGTCCCAAAGGACTTAGGATTCTCTTTTAATTATATTCAGCGTACCTCCTCCTCCGTAAGGCATTTGAGTGAACGTACGCCATCAAAAAGCTGTTAAGTTGTCTATGAAATAAAAGTACTTCTTCATCTCCTGAACTATTAAAAAAAAAAACAATATCTGAAATCTCTTTTGTTCTTTTCCTTCTTTTTTTTTTTCCTTCCCCTACGCAGTAGCACTAACGTCTTTTTAAGATACCTTAGTATGAAAGACCTGAAGGAATAGCGGCTCTGATTCCATTAGTTTGTAAAATAAAGACCTAATGAACACTTCCTTTGTTCTTGAAGCTGTCCTGATAATAATAATAAAAAAAAAAGCAGCTGGTACTCAGTTGGAATGTCTCATGCTGAGAAAGGCACCATCAAAATCTTTATGGGAATAGCAAGGATTATTAAACTGCATTTGCCACAGCTTCCCCTGAGTTTCACTGTATTGTGTTTTTTTGGATTCAAGGGAATACTTATTCCGGCCAATTCCTCTTCGGAGAGCTTCACGGGCACGGAGTTTTCCATTATGGAAATGGGAGCAAATATGAAGGAGAATTCTCTTACGGGGTACGAGAAGGTAAACAGGGGCAGAATCCGTGCAACTAGGGTGGGATTCATATATCACGCTAAGCTGGTCTTTATTTAAACATGCTGTGATGCCCAGGTTTACACACACGGGGAAGAATTGACACTGATATGTTGACCCCACCCGGTGAAGCTGATTCCAGTGGCCTGAACCCAAATTCACTGAAGTGGGAGGCTGGGAGAGAAATCTTCTGCTCACATTTATGGGTGGGTTAGTTAATTAGTCGAGAAATGAGAATGTTGAATTCTCAAAAATAGTTTTGGCCTAGGAGCATTGCATTAACGTTCCAGTCTAGTCCAGATGCTGATTTGTAACCAGGGTGCAAGGAAACACAGAAGAGCACAGGGTTGGAAGGGACCTTGGAGGTCTTCTAGTCCAACCCCCTGCTCAAGCCTACTTCCCAGGCTTGCCGATCCCTTCCACCAGCCGTATCCCAGACTACAGCCAGGGTCCCACAACTGTTAGGGACAAACAGGCAGCAACATCTGTCCCAAAGTGGAAGGACAACAAAACAGCGACACAAGGGCAACGTTTTTGAGGCAAGCACACAAGTTGTTGTCTTTGCCTTATGGTGTGCGTGTGTGATGGTTGGATCCACCTTTGCATTGTCCAGAGGGGTACAGTTGCTGCTTTCCATCTGTGCTTGGGATCAGTTCAGTTGCGTAGCTAGTGTTTTTCTTGTGTCAGCACTTCCCCTTTGCACAAATGCTTGTAACTCACAAGAGCAAAAGTCGTTTTCTTCCAGCAACAAAACGTAAAACAATCACAGCGGGTTTTCTTTATTCACCTTTCCCCCAACAACTTTTAGTTTTAGCTTTCAAATCAGCCAAGAAAATGACAGTGTTTATGCAGTAATTTGTGGTTTAAAAAAAAAAAAGCTTTTGGCATTGTTTCTCTCTCTATAACGCAAAGTCTTCTTCTTCATAGGCCATGGGTCGCTCACGGAAAAGGATGGAGAGACTTACCAAGGAAGCTTTCATAACAACAAAAAACACGGAGGAGGAAAAATGACATTCCCGTGAGTTTCTCTGATTATTTTGTTGGCCCTTTAGTTGGATTCAGCCTGAAAGCAGAACTTTCAGGAAGGAGCAATAACCCAAGATCCATAATTGGTTGCAGAGCCCTAGAAGAGCCAGAGCAGAAGAGAAGCTGAATGTGGTGTATAACCAATTAAAATGGCTTAGTCTGACTTATTAAAGCGCACTCTTTCCCCTCAGTTCCCATCGTTGTGTCTGTCCTACCACCATGTGTGAACCAACCTAGAGGGGCTTCATGTGTGAACAGGACCAGTATGACTTAAGTAGCTAAACGGAGCTTGACTTTTTGTGTTCAGATACTGCCAATGTGTTAAAAACAGTAAATTCTCCAAATTAAACTTCACTCTTGTGGACTTCCTGGGGGTGACCCTTGGTTTTTTTGCATGATAGTCTGGGAGCGGTTTTCCCCCTTGCCATCTTTCACGATATCTTTTCAATTTCCTAATTAAGCTTACAGCCCTGTAATTTCTTGGCCATCCAAATACTTAATTAGGCCAGCTTAGCTTTTGAGCTCAGGTAAGGCTGGGAATTGCTACGTGATGTGGTACCTAGCTTATTATCAGTTGTTCTTCAGGCTACATCACTGATTGTTTTTAAAAATTAGTTTTTTAAACAGCTCATTGCTGTTTTAAGAAATGCACTGTCCTTTAATTGATTTTTACATGACTTTCCTTATCTCTGTCCTATTTTCCTCCAAGGAAGCCCAGATTCATTGTTTTCCTCTTATTTTATTCTCACAGCACTCCTTTTGGCCAGTGGCCCCAAACCTTTGGGCACCAAGGACTGGTTCCATGGATTATATTTTTTTACCTGGATCAGGGGGTGGGCGTGGTTTCATGCGCTACCTAGATCTCACACAGGTTCACTTGCTTGGTTCCTTGATAAGGACGGCAACAGTGAAGGTAGAAATTTGAATCCAGGTATTTCTACTTCTAGTTGTCACCATTATAAACCTGGCATTCATTTTTGTATTGTCATCCAGATAGGGGTACTGGACACTTTTTGTCAGAAAAACTTGCATGCCTTTCCCCCCCTCCCCTTTAAAGTTCATATACCAAATCACCTAAAATTATTCTCCTGGCTCTTTATTGTTAGAAATGGAGATAAATTTGAGGGTGACTGGATCCTGGATCAAAGACAAGGCCATGGAATACTTCAATGCCCTGATGGAACCGTGTATGAGGTATGAGAATGTGTCCCTTGGTTTTCCTTTAAGTTCTTTCAAGTTTAAGCTATTTAAACACCTTTCCCGTGGCTCCATCGACACAGCATAAGCTCCCAGACACAACTGAATATGGCTACAATATCTGCAATCCTGTGATGTAGTACAAAGCTAGAAAATTGAGTCACTTCACCACAATTCAGCTTGATAGGGGTTAGCCTGATTCATGAAACCAACCATTGCTTAACCTGCTCTATTCTGCTCTATTCTATTCTATTCTATTCTATTCTATTCTATTATATTATATTATATTCTAACCGAGGCTATTTCCATGTTTATGCTAAGTTAGGCAACTCCATTCTCTTGCCAGGTTTTAGACCACAACACCCCATCTTCCTATGCCATTCATCCTGCTGGGTGGGTCTGTTGTGAGCTGGAGACCAAAGTTTCCTGTTTAGTGCCGAGTGATCTAGAAATTCCATTTTTTAAAAAAAAATTTGGTGAGGATAAGATTCCTTTTCTTTGGCATCCCCGTGCAACACATGGCCTGTCTGGTCTCATTACTCGGAATGTGCATAAATGGCAATCAGGCGTGATAATGCAGGAAATTAAAAAATAGGCTCCCATCGATGATCTGTCTGCTAAGATGTCGGAGGCGTTCAGACCGGTGCTTCCTAGGCCAGCTGAGTATCCATCGATCTAAGCCGACAGAATTTCACAGCTTGGTGTAGCTTCCCTTTGCCAAAACGGAAGGGCTTACTCGACTGATTGGCAGCCCTTCCCCAAATTGCCCTCAACGTACCGGATTGAAAACGGGGCTGCTTTCCTCCCTGACCAGGTGAATAAATATACAACAAGACAGTTGAGGCTTTCTAGAGCAGAGGTACCCAACCTCTGGACTGTTGACCAGCTCTGGACCTCAGCAAGCCAGAAACTGGTCTACGCAAAGAAGTGAAGCCCCATTTTGCATTGTTCTCAAAGATAAAGGGGGGAGTGGTGGAACGCCCATTGTATTCTTCTTTGGCATCTGATGCTGAGCGCATAAGTCAATCCCCGCCGAGGATGCCACAAAACTAAGATAAACATTGTGGCTGAAATTCCAATAATAGGACAGGTTTGCCCAGGGTTTTAATTTCAGTCGTCTTTTACCCGTCGGTTCTTGGTTTGGCAAAAGCAACCATTTTTTTTCGCCACAAACACAATTTGCACATCGAGCCCTTCTCGTTGCAAATGTGCCCACGGCATCTTGCAGGACAGCACTGGGCTATACCTACACTGCCATTGTTCTGATGTGGGAGTGCCAGATTCTAGTTAACGGGTTTAACTAGAATCTGGAATTTCTCTTCCTCTGGTCCACCTTGCAGGGATGTTGCTATGGGGAAAAACGGAGGGAGTACTATGGTAATAACTGATTTTGTGTTCAATGAATCCAACCAGCAACTAAGGCTTCCATAAAAGTAAAGACTTACTTTTTCTGTCCTCCAAAATGGAGCCTGTTTGGTTCTTGACAGTCTTCAGATGTTAATTCAGAAAATCAGTAGGTTGTGACGGTCAGAACTCTGAGGAAAACGTTCTGGGTGAAACGTTTCATGAATCTTTACCTTGCCCCTCAAATAATTCAAGGAAAGAGTTTTCAAGAAGGTTGGGGAGAAGTTCAACAGCGGTGCCCCATCTCACAAGTTTCATTTCACACTGTGGTTTTTGTTGCTGTTTGGCTTAGCTCAATACCTGCATCAGTCCATTAGGATAGATAAGTCATGATTTACGGCTTAGCGTGATGTCCGAAAGGGTTAAAGGAAGTTTCCACATGAAAGGGCAAATCAAACCCTTGACCTCGGTTGTGGCAATGAGAAAATAGTATACTGCTCCTTATCAAGACTGCTTCTGGGTCTGTTTAGGGCACTGAAGCTGACTCATATTTTGTTAAACTTACCTTTTATATCATGCCTGCCTTCTTCCTGAGCTCCTCACACTTCTTGTAAATTCTCAGACCAAACACTGCCAGTAATTATAGATCTGCTGTTGCAAGATCAATCTACTGACTTCTTAAAAGGCTGCAAACATTTCCAGTATTCCCGCCATAAGCCGTTAACTATGCATGAGAAAGAATTCAGTTTCAGACTCCATTTTCTACTTATTAGCCTTATGAATCCTGGAGGTTCTTGCCTTTGGCTTTTCTTTTATCTTTTAATTTTAATGTAATGTTATCAAACACTGCAGGTGTTGGTTGGTCTTTTCACAGCCACTCTCGGTGTATAAGGAGGTAGATTGGCTCTATTGATAGCTCTGGCTGTTTCTTGGCTGTTTCTTTTCAGTGGGTCTGAAAG